CCTCACGCCCTCCTGGTTAATTAAAAAATTCCTTCCTTTCATTCATTCATTCTTTTTTCTCTTTCTTTCTTCCTTCCTTCCTTCCTTYCTTTTTGTCTCGATCCTCRCGCCTTTCCTGATTTTTTTACTGACCACTACATCTATTTTTATTGACATCATCTTCCAACTCGATCATCAGTTTCCAAGATAACCACTCCATGAATGTCCAACCAATGTCCCGAATCAACATCGTCTGCCCGAATCCCGCTCTTGTTCCCGCCAAAATCCAAAACACCATCCCCAAAGAACAACTRTTTGAAAATATCTGGATAGTGGACAAGGCCTCATATGATGGATGTATCGTGGACACAAGTAAAAGTACCAATAGGCTGGTCATGAAGTGTGATGATCCGTTGAGTCTAAACTATTACACCATGGTGTTCCAGCAATTCAGTGCTACTCCGGATGGATTGGAATTCCAACCAGGGCAGAGYTATTATTTCATTGGTGGGTTTTAGTCTCAGGGTAACTTCCCGCCAAAAATGCGTGCGCATGGCCTACGGATATTGCTAGCCAATGGGGATTGAGAAGTGGTACCCTAGTAGAACAAGGACGATTTATTTATGTACTTTTACACTTCAGAAAATAATGCAATGGCAGCAATGATGGAATAATACAATCGAGTGGCTTTTCAGGCTACATATTAACGTAATTCAATTTATTCTGATTAATATTCCTTTACTATTATATATAGGTACTTCCGATGGAACCCAGACCTCCCTTGGCCGGATTTCCGGTGGACACTGCGCAAGTCACAACATGAAGATGGCTRTTTATGTTTGCTTTGACTCAAGTGGTATGTTTTAGAATAGCGCGATAATCGTACGGTACAAACTAACGACAAAAGGTGTGCACTGATATCATGAAAGTTTGTTGGAGGACACACAAGTCTTCCAACATGGCGGCTATGACGTCTACTCCACTCTAATACTAATATGGAAATTTAACTWCTTTCCCTCCAATTCATTTTTCTTCTCCAGATCCAAAGTGTCAGCYAGCAGCACCAACCACAGCAAGCCCAGTCACGTGCCCGACCCAGCCCACAACAATTCCTCAATACACAGGTGMAGGATATGCCTCAGGGCCCSGTTGTACGAAGGATGTATGGTGCTATCCAAGATAAATCCTTATCCAGTGAATAAGGGGATGCTTTTGTCTAATACATTTATTCACTTGATGAATTTTATCTTCTGATAGCGCTATCCGACCTTCCATACGTGCGACGATGCATGTTCAGGAGGAATGACCCACTCTTGCTTAYGTTATTACATATTCTTTTTCCTGGAATTTCAAGACATTTTTCTGCATAAGCAGTTGTCATCTTAMGGGACCCGATTTAGAGGAATTAGAGGAGAGGGGTGGGGTTAACTGGCCACCTTTATGGATGTGAAATCCTGGATCATTAGTTTTGTCCTCGATTAATTAATTACCTCCTAACCTAAAAGTTAAATCGCTCTGTCTCTATTATATGCTAAACAAAATTAAGCATTTGAAATATTTCAAGAACACCAAATATCAATCATCAATTGGACCACTCTCTTAACCTTGGCACTATGGGGTTGTATAGAAGATAGGCGAACCTCCCTAGTAGGTTAGAAAATGCCTCCAAATAACATTTCCGCTAAACAAATGAAAGTATTGATGGGCTGCAAGCATTACCAAAAAGAGTCAAAARACAAAAACGTGGCGGCCATTTTGTTGCCTTTAATAATGGATGCTACTAAGGCTGGTCTTTCCTTAGATGGCACCAACGCTYCCCCGAGAGGCCGCGATGACGTAACGTGCAATCAAAGAATTTCTGTTTTATTCCAGGTTCAAACAATATGATGTCAATCTCCAACAATACAGACCTGCTTCCACTGATCGCAAACCAAACCAACCTTATCCCTGAAATATTGAACGCTTTACAAAACATGACCAYCAAACTGGACGCCGTCAAGGAGAAGCTAGATAACTGTTCATTGGCATCTTCTGGGAACACTGGGAATCAAGGTATGAAGCTCGGCTATACCACAGGTAGCCCAAGTTTTGTTCTTCGCTGTATTGCTAGTTTTCGACGTAACAAACAGTTGATGTTATGTATTCATAAGAAAACAATGAATCATCACATCTAATACAATAGATAGAACGACAATAGAATGCAATAGATTTTTTTGAATACATACATCAACTGAGTACGTGCTATGTAGGTTCTACCTACTAGTTTTCAATCATTTTCAAGAGAATAAAATTACAAAAGACAACGGCAGCCAATAGTAATACTCGTTAGAAAACGCTCAATGACCAATCAGCGTCGCACTCCAGGTTCTTGATCATAATATAAGCTGTTCTGTGATTCGCTCAACTTAAAAAAAAAAAAAACAGAACAAGCTTCTCTCAAGACGCCAAAAACTACGAAYGAGAGGCACTGGCACTTGAAACACTGAGTTGATCCCCTGGGCCAACCAGCCTCAATTTCATGTTTGCCACCACCACCTCCCACGTGGTCTTTATGAGATATGAATACATGTGTTTGACTAATGGCATTTTGTTATCCTAGTGATTCCAGTACGCTCAACCTGTGCGGCTCACTACATGGCAGGGGTAGCAAAGACTGGTATATACCCCATCAATCCCGATGGCCTTGGACAATTCGACATACTGTGTGACCAAACGACATCCGGTGGGGGGTGGGCAGTGATTCAAAAACGCTACGATGGCTCGGTGAACTTCACGAGAGGATGGAATGAATATCGTGATGGTTTTGGRTCTCTGAACGGTGAATTCTGGCTAGGACTAGAGAAGATTCATCGGTTGGCATCCACGCCTGTGCAGTTGAGAGTAGAACTAGGAGCTCCAGACGGCGAATCGAAGTTTGCATTGTACTCGGGATTCAAAATTGGAAATTCCACAAGCAAGTACACGCTCACCGCAGGAACATACATAGGTCAGAATCTTGAAGAAAGAAATAAAAAGATTAGGGAATCCGGATTTTTTTTGTCCGTGTCCGTCTTCCCTTCTTTCTGGACCATGGTACTATTACATAGATCTCTTTGCCTTTAGAGTATAAATATTTTCCCAATATGAAGAAGAAGAATTGAATGTATCGATTCATGTGTCTTCTCTTCCCTGCTAGCAGACTCTCCCTCGTTCGCAATTTTTGGTAGAGAAAATCTATAAGAGATTCTGCYGGTCTAGGCCGTTTTCTTTGATATATATACCTTCCATTTTCTCTGCCAAGATCGCCAGCAAGGAAACTATACTAGTAARACTCTTCTCGTGCGCAACAGTTAAAACAAAGGAATACTCTTGAGAACGACAMGTGGCCTGAAATGGGAAGACATTGCGGCTAGGGTAATAGTAGTCTCCTTTGCAGCCGTTCCATGTGTCGAAGCGTTTGGACCGACGCTAAGAACGGCTGCAAGGGAGACTAGGGCAATAGACCGTATCAGTAAAAAGATCTATTCAAAATCAGTTTTCATTTGATCAACAGCTGGAGATGCAGGCGATGCAATGACTTTCTCAGACGGCATGAAATTCTCCACAATTGATCAAGACAACGACAGCTGGGATCAACACTGTGCTAGATACTTCAATGGGGCGTGGTGGCACCAGATCTGTCACAAAGCCAGTCTRAATGGGATTTAYAGAAACGGGTCCCATCCTGGCTACTTTGGAGATGGAGTGATATGGGAAACATGGAGAGGGTACCAATACTCGTTGACCAAGACAGAAATGAAAATAAAACCTTGAGGAAGAATTCTACGTTAATGGATACTTGGTTCTGGTGATGCGCGGGAAAACCCAGGGAAAAGCGCGGGAAAATCGCGGAAATCCTTTTTTGATTTGCAAATATAAAAAAATATTTTAGGGACTACTAAGGTGGTGCTAACTTAGGTGGTGCTAGCTATATTGCAGATATTTTAAAATTAAGAGCAAATTAAGGTGTTTCGAAGCGTCAATCAATCGTTTTCTTTGGAAAGCCTTCACTAAATCCAAGTGTCTTTTTGTTTTTTGTTTTATTACATTAAATCTTCAGTCAAAAGCAAAACCAGAGGAAAATTAGTAATTTTCGCATGACAAGACGTGTGTTCCTTGTTTGCCATACCACAATATTACCAAGGTGGCTGCGATACTGGACACGACAGCAAGTAGAGTTCCAGTAGCGTAAAGACGTCTCGGTCATGGAGCAGTGCGGGGAGGGGGCGGCGGATGTACCGTTTTCCCGCCAATGGACCATCACCTTTAGAGTTTCCTTTCATATCCACAGCTTTAGTAACAGGTATTGGGGTCGCCCCCTCGCTATGTATATAATAAAAAAGACATAAGAGTATGGAATTCGGAAYGATGTTTTATAGCAACGAAAACAGCTCAAAAATTCAGTGATWGTTGTAGCATTGATATTCGAGTTACATGATAAATCTGTTATTTTTCTCTTATATTTATGACACATTTTCTAGTCATCAAATTGCTTACAAAATACCTGGATAGATAGATCACACATGACTGCAGCCATGTACAGCATTACTCTCATCATTTTGTTCAATTCAGCGATCACAAACGACGTGCTTGGAATCCTRAATTCAAGATACATGCCATGCAGGTCAACAGACTTCCTGAGAGAAAGGTTACATGGATAAGTTTTTGCCTGTGAAAATGTACAGAGTTCTTCGCTGTCATCAAGATATTTCTTTGAAGAGGTGTCTGGCTTCTTAGAGACTATTTCGGCTTGGACACCCATACAGTCACTACACGGATGCCCTGGAAAGGTGTCCGTCTGGGTGAATGCCTCTTTTTCGCCAACACCAAATATGTCACTACGACTACTTCTTCGCATAGAGTCTGTTTGAGTAAGAGCGTCTTTGCTTKTGGCACCCTTGTCCTTAGCTGAAGTTGCAAGTTGAAAATCCTTGGCAGTTTTTGTTTTGTCAGACGTATTTTTACTGTATCCAGTATATGCAACGTCTTTCATCCTTTCAGGCCCATTCACTGGTACATCCTTTGAAACCATTTTACAAATCTGTTGTAATTCCATAGATCTGGAACGATGCACACTGCTATTCACATCCAACAGATTCTTGTCTGCATAGTAAGGAATCACTGACGCATCCCTTTGCTGTTCTTCTMCGGGGTCGGGTAACTCTTCATCATAATCTTCCTTCAAAGACTCAAACAACTTACTACAATGAATTTTGCTTMGCTCTCTTGACCGTTCACAAGCGACTCCAATACCTGAAGATGTCAGCTGATGTTCCGCAAAGGAAAAGCAAGATTCATTTRCGGAAGGTAATTCATTGGCTGGCTTATCAGTACTATGGCTGGACTTGGCTCTTTTAGAAGAGGCGGTTTGGTWATCAAGAAAAGGACCATTTTCTTCTACCTTTTCGTCTTTTTTGGATTCACCACTTTTTAAGGCATCAAACAGGAGGCTGCATTTTCTTTTGCTTTGGTCTTTTTGTCGTTTAACCTTCGCCTCCAATCTAGCGTTTCCCTCRTCATTTTCCGCCGAGTTAGTATGAGAGTTAGCTGATTTTGTACCACGGCTTCGTTGTTTATATTTCTTTTTAATKGCTTTAGTATCTGTTTCATTAGCTTGTACACCGATAGTTGAAGGGCTCTTCTGCTTGTCAACAGCAGAATCTGTAAAACTACCCCGTCGGCCAACAGAATTTGCATTCCAGGGAGRACCACCGTGCCTGGCATCAGAGCCTTTATCAGGAGCAGCTTGCCTACTATTTACCTTCAAATCGGTATTCGAGGAATATGTAGTTTCATTGTCTTTAGGGTTGAATAAAGTTGACTGTGTTAGCCGTTTTCTCTTCACAACCAACTGAGTTGGAGTTGACCTCGGAGTTGGACTTGCTAACAAACATTCCTCATCTGTGGCTTCTTCAATCAAGTGCGGCAAAGAAAACTCCTCGTTTTGTGAAGGGGAGTCGGAACAAAGTTCAGAAGCCTTCCTAAATCCTCTTTTAACAGAAGAAGTACAAAAAGGTGAAGACGGACTTTCCATTTGAGAACTTTCACCTTGGGAACTTGATAAAGAACTTTGTGACGAGTAAGACATCTCATGTTTCGCATTTGAGTCGTAAGAATCTAGTGGTGAAGTACCGGCACCACTTGGTCGAAAGCGTTTCTTTGCAAAATTATCAGAGTTTTCTTCAGACCTTCTTCTTTTAGAWGGCGTAGTCCAGGGCGTAGTTATGRCATCTTTGTGACAAGTGGTTTGTCCGGTGGAGGAGGAAGTACTTGTTTCATRAGATGGTTCAGGAGCAAGTTGTCCTGGTGCCTTTTGAATCTTTTCCCTGTAAAATCTGAAACGCAGTTACATGTAAAAACAAATAAGTASAGAAAATCTCGAGATAACTGTAAATATTTTCGAAGAAGACTGGGTAATCACACAGGAATAA